TCAACGAATCGTTTTATTAATAGTCAAAATTAAATTATAAATTGAATGCATTTGTATTATAAATAAATATATAATTTAATCAGTTTATAATCGCCGATTCAATGTCCGATTCGTCGATATCGTTAATATCAATGTCGTCGTCGTCTTCAATCTGTAGATCAAATCAATTTAGACATCGATTATCATTACATGAGTACAAACTCACTGTTTGTCCCAATTCTTTGAGCTTTTTCTTATATTGTCTGAGCTTTGAGTCCTGATCTGTGAGCAACACGAGTAGGTCTTCCTGTTCTTTGCGCACAGTGTCTAATTCAGACTCCAGTTTGTGTCGATCCGATCCAATCGACTCCATCTCTTTCAACGCATTCTTTTCATTCACATTCAAATCGTCCCTTAATTTGGCCGTCAATTCATGCAATTCTCTGTTTTCGTTGACAAGACTTTCGTATTGACTGTTTTGACTTTCAATTTGCAACTCTTGAACACCACTTTCTTGCGATTCTTGTACTTTGAGTGACAATTCATTTCTCTAAACAACAAATAGTCATTAATAACAATACCATTGAAAAGTGACAAATCAATTACGAGGAATGCTATGTCGTTGTCTCGTTTTTGAATGTCTTGCATCAGATTCCGGATCTGAATCATATGTTCGTTACATTCGTTACTATTAGTAACGGGACTGGCATTGGAGGCAAAGGGGTCCGTATGGCTGAGAGGAGACGACTTCTGGGCCTTTAGTAAGGCGTTGTGGTCCTTAAGCTGTTGAATATGGGACGACTGTTCCTGCATTTGCATTAATATCCTGCTGTGCTCTTCCTTTAGGACACAGAACTCGCGTCTAATAATAGTCAACTGTTGGTCCTGTTCTCGGATTACTTCTTTGTATTGGTTGAGCAGTCGGTGCTCATCGGCCGTCATATTAGATTCCGGGCCATTGACTAAATCACCGGGTTTTGATTGCGAGGCTTTTATCACAAGCCCTATAAATAACAAATTTTTTTTTGTTATTTTAAATCTAAATCAATTTAATGGTAAATTATTCATACCTTCAAGTGATTTAAAAAGACGGCAAAATTCATAATCAAAAAGTACATCTTCAGTGCGTTTGTAGGAAAGTTGAGGTCTTTGCACGGCTTGACTATAACTCTCATTCTTGGAAATGGAGCCCAATTTGTCCAAAAATATTTCTAAACCTATTCTCTTGACAATCAATTGACACAAGTCTTCTCTGATAAAATCAAAACAATATATAAATATAAATAATATATAATTAAACTCATTAGAAGAATGTCTCACTTCGTAAAACTTGGAACAGAATTATCGTTAAAATGAATACAAATTCCCAAAAGGAAAGCACAGATTCCTTGTATAAGAATCTCGAGGTCATCGCCCTCTACGAGACCCACTTGAGAGGTCAGGTATGGGATGTTTGTGGGAATATTGAGAAAGTGCTGTACAGCGAGAGGACAGTGCGAAAGCCACGTACATAACAGCATCAATAGACTGATTCTCTTCTGAAAATTGCCTCCAATTTGAAGTATTGTTGAGCAATGCTTTAGAAGAGAGACGGGAGCGGTTCCCGCATCGGTGGCCAACTGCACTCTTAACAGCTGCTCTTTTTGGGTCGTGTTGTCGACCAACGCGTGGCCCAAAGCAACCGAAACAAACCAATTGGACAGACCGTCTGCGCTGAAGAGACCGCCACAAAGTAACTGTCCCGCAGTCACCGCAACCACTAGTCGTATAGAGTATAAAGATATCGTTAGATATCAATTTGAGAGAGAGAGAGAGAGAGAGAGAGAGATTCCCGTCTCTCTTCTAAAGCATTGCTCAACAATACTTCAAATTGGAGGCAATTTTCAGAAGAGAGAGAGAGAGAGAGAGAGAGAGAGAGAGAGACCTTCAGTAGATGATGGAAGCAGTGTCTGTATAATCTGTGCCTGACCAAGCTCATTCTTGTATAGAAAACATTGGAAACAGTAGAGAACAGCACATCTCAATTCAAACGGCTGTTTCTCATTAACCATTGACATCAATAGCACTACAATCGCTGGTTTTGGCGGAACTGTCGGTGCGTTTACTGTACTAAAGTATTCCTGATTGTGATGATTGCCGCGAATCACTTCCGATACGGCGTTAATCGTCTGAATAAATGCCAAATAGTTTATAAACAAATTTCAAGTATTTTTAATTATAAATAGATATGAATTACTTCTGTAAGAATGTCTGCAGGGATTCCACTGGCCATCAAAATAAGACACAACTTCTCTAAAAGACCCGATTGTTGCATAACTTTTTGACAAGAAGTGGTCACTTGTAGTGGATTGTTAGGCGAGACGAGTGTACGAATTACTTGAAGCATAAACAAGAGGTTTGTGGCCTTTTGTGCGCTCCAAACGGTGGCGTTGGGGATGTCGAGGAATGGTAATAGTCTTTGGATATAAGAGCCCTCTTTGAAAAAGTTTTGATTCGATGAATTGAGTTTTAATAGGTTTTGCAATACTATGAGACAGTCCTCCACAACAACACCTGTTTAATGATAACACACATTGAATTAATACTGATAAGTGAGTGCAAACTGTTGTGCAATCAATACCTCCATCACTGTATCCTTCTTCGGCCACAATCTCTAAAAGTCGGTCGAAAGCGTTCTCAAAGGCGACGATCTTCTGAATATTGGCATTACTTCGCGTCAAATGGACTAAAAGTAATAACGCGTCGTTTCGTATCACTTCTCGACTGTCGGCCAACAGATCCATGAGTCGGGAGACACCCATTGGATACGAGAGAATACAGTCCTGACAGTCGCGTAACTTATTCCTCAACAAACCAATCAGTAGTTTAACTGAAGGCCAGCGAACCTTAAAGTCGTATTCGGCCAACAGTTCCAGAAGAAGTGCCACATTTTCTTTACGTTTGACAAAGATTTCAGTGAACTGAACGCCCAAATCGGGTGAAGCGGCGCCAGAAGTCGTTGCCATAGGGGTCGGCGTCGGCACCGGATTCTCTGTCATGTCGTCAACGGGTCCAGAGATGACATAATTAAGAGTATCGATGGCGTAACTCATTATCTCAGTGTCGGACGAGTCGTTTTGGAGGACATAAGTCAAGGCATCCATGGCTTGTGCGCCCACTTCTAGACGATAAGTCTTTGACAGCGACTTCAGGGCCCGACACGCGTCCCGTCTGTCCTCCAGAAGTGTTGAACTCTCGACCCTTTCGACCAGTTTCTCGACCTAAACCACCGGCAAATGCGGCCATAAATGGTGTCCAAAAACAAGACAAATAATGGTTAGTAAATAAGAGATAATCAATTGATGGCTATAATAGACATACGGTTTCTGCGACCGACGGCTGACTGGTGTCGGGATTAGTGCCCAAAACGGTATTCCAACCACTCTTTAGGAAATCCATTCCTCAATAGTTTCGACGATTTCTTTGTTTTCGATTCAAAATATGTGTTAAAATGTGATTAAAAGTCTTCATTAAAACATGTATTCAAATGGCATTCAAAACACAATTCATTTAATAGTGTTTTAAATGCAATCAAACACTCATTCACTCAATAGTCCACTCAATAGACGCTTATTTGGCATTTCGTAAACATTTGCTTATGTTTTGCACTCAGATTTCATACACTAATTACGGCAGCAATTCGTGTATGAATTCACAGTTAAATCAGTTATACTGTAATTAAATTGTTTTTGAATTCACTTAATCCAGAGTTTGTTTGATTTTTATTTATTTCAGTGAAATATTAATATATTAATTGGATTTGAATTAAACTTTAAATATAAAATACAATTGAATTGATGGACAGAAGTGGACGCCCGGACCCGGTATTCAATTATTAATACAAACTTTAAACAACTTTATAATTTAATAAAACCTCAATCTATACAAAGGGTTTACAAAATACATAAATTAAAATTTTTACAATTAATTTAAACTGTTTATGGTTTATATTAGATAATTAAAAACACACAACAATTTAAATTAAAACGTTAATACAAAAAAGTATCATGCTCATTTATCATGGGCAAGGGTTGGGGAAAATACACGTAATTGATGTTTAGGGCAATGAGTTAAAGAGCTGAACAAACAATAGACACACAACAGATCTGAAGAGATCTATGGCACGAGTGGTGACACTGACCTCATTCGCAGTCATCCGGAAGTATTGGATCTCCTATTGACGACAATCATGTTTTCGGTGAGCTTTCAATTGATCCCTAATTTACACCTTAAATGACATTCATATGAAGACACCGAAGGATTGGTTGTTTTTGAATGAATCGGTGGTTCACTCGAGTGATGACTATCTCTTTGATTGTCATTAATTGCGATGACTATGGGATGTAGTGATCGATAGTGTATTTCATTGAACACTATTCATAGCGATTGTGTAAATGTGTTACAAATAATGGCAAACAATTGTTTGTGATTTGAATTAAGCTTTCACTCAATCAACTCATTGTATACCCCGTTATAATGAAGACACTAATTGTTACGACAGACTCTATGATACCTATTATTAAAAGGCTATTAAACATATACAGTCTGCCCCCGGTTTTGACATTTCATCGGTGCTGTAAAAAATTTGTGTCAAAATCGAATTCTGTTAAAATCGAAAATAGCTTTATTGGCATTAAAATAACATTTTAGTTATTCAATTTAGTGTTTTTGTACATTACTTCTAAAGTAAGACCTTTTCTAAGTTTTATAGTCTATTATTTTATAGAAATAATATTAAAATAACAATTATTGCAAAAAAAAGTTCTTTTAGTATTCAATGTGTTAAAATTGAAGCATTGTTTATGCTATAGAGATATAAAAATTCTCTGTCAAAATCGAAATCTGTTAAAATAATCTGTTAAAACCGAATAAGTTAACATTATGGTATACATAGGGCTTGCCCGTGCTAACGAAAACTTATGTTAAAATCGAAATCTGTTAAAATCGCGAGTGTCAAAACCGGGGGTAGACTGTAATTGCTTTGAAACTGTTTAACTAATTTCAATATTAGTTAATATTATTGTTAATTGTTATGAATTATGTATTTCAATACAATAGTACTGTTATATAATTGAATATATAATTAATTCGTTATTTAAATGAGTGTTTTATAAATTATAATGAATGCAAATATATTTAATAATTGAGATTAATATCTTCATTGAGAATATTTATAAATAATTTACATTAAATATTGAATGAATATCGACGATTTTAAATTGACCATGCACTAAATATATAAGTTTTCTGTTATCTATTGAATTGAATATGTGGTACAGTAATGTATATTTAGCACATCTGGGTCTTTGAATTGTAACAATTTTATCACATTATAACTAACAAAATGAAAGTATAGTTTTAAATATAGAGTGCAATAATCTTATTCTGGTTTAATGTATACATTAATTGCAGTATTCATAGAGTACTGTACTATATATCAGATTCTGATTCTGTGCTCCAATTATTTTGCACACCAATCATCTCTGCAATTGATGACCAAAATTGTATTCATCGCTCAAACTATTATATGCTTTGATTTGATTTTATATGCCTTTTATATTACATGTAATAATTGGTTACAATTTGATTGAAATCTAATAATTGGAATAAAGGACTCCTGAAAAGCATGTAATGATAAATAATGTCTGATATAAACTGTTTGATAAATAGTGTAAATATAGTGAATGTAACCAATTCTGTCACTCAAATCACATCAAATTGTGTACATGTATTGATAGGTAGATAACATTTGTCAATACAATGAGTTGGAAACCCAACAATTCATTGCATGTGATTTTTTGATGTCTTTTTTATTATATATTTTATTGTCAATTTATAATCACTTGCTTTTAGAGATCAATTCTGTGTAGAAATATAAGCTTTTTGTGTCATTCATAAGAATATATGTTTGAATTCAATTTTGATGGAGTATGTAATGAAAAGTCATGCTGTACTGAACTGTACTTGGTTAAAAAGCACTAATTTGAAATTTAACTCAATATTTTATAATACATTGTAGAGGTTTGTAAGTTTTACAAGTTGTGAATTTAAATGCATATACAGTATAACAGTTAAGAATAGACATACGAAATGTTTTCATTTGATTTGACGCCTATTTTTGCATTGAATCAAGAATTTAGATAAAGTTTAATGCATTGCAAACAGTGTTAGAAACGTTAGGCTTTTGACCCTTTAGTTCATAAAGTCGTTGATTTAGATTAAGTGGTATTTTTGGCAAACAATCCAATTGTGCAGCACTTAAACAGTTTGTGAAATGATAATAACTAATTGCTTCATATATTTTAGTTTCTTTCGCTTCCCGTACTTCAAAAACAATACAATTTAATGCAATATTTTTATTGAATAATGTAATGAACAGACAATAGGAATTAAGATATGCTTTGTTCTGCACGAAAACTGCAATATGTTTAATACATTTTGTATGAAATTATATAACACAATATTGTCACATGGAATATAATTAACAACTTGATCGCAATACTTGTATTCTCAAATAATAAACTCGTTAATTCTTTGCGAATATCATTTTAAAATAAAATTCTGTGCTTTAAATAGATATGATATAGAAATATCATACTATTTATTGTAATAACAAAATTATTTTAAATAACGTGTATAACACGTCTCAAAGTAATTAATATTATCGTTTAAAATCACATTTGTCTGCATTTGCGATATTTTTACATATTTATCGAAAAACATGTTTAATTTTTTAAAACTGAACAGAAATGCTGTTACTATTAAACATGGGAATCATCCAAATGAATATTTTTAGTTAATTCACTCAAAACATAGATATTATTTAGTAATTGTGAATATAATATAGCGTTTGTTTAATGGTTTTTGTATACTTATTAAATTAATGTGAGTTATTCTTTGTTTGATTATACTCTTTGCTATATTTCTACATAATTTTATTGCATTTCATATGATATAAAATGCATTTGCCTTTAATTACTGGTATCTCTAGCCATATGTTATGTAGAATTCAATTAAATGTGTTTTGTTTGCAACAAATGCAGTATTAAATTAATAATTAGTGTTTTTAATTATAAATTAATTGATGTTTGAAAGGAATATTTATATGAAAAGAGGAAATTAAGTCTACATTTACAGCAAATGTTTACTCAACTAATAAATGCTTTTCAGTTAAATGAATACAAATATAGATTTAGTATTGAGTTTCGTTTGAGTTATGAAATAATGGGATAAACTATTTTCGCGGATCTCTGACTACAATAGTGCAGTAATCTAACACGCTGTTTAATAGTAACTCAATTACTACAAAAACTGTTACTTTAGCAAATTAGCAACTGGCTAAAAGCACATCTGTAAGTAATTGAGTAAGAACTTTACTACCTAAAACTTAATTCACGGATTGTTTGCTAATTAATTCTGTTTTGTCTCTAATAATAACCGTTTGCTAACACATTGTTGCGACAAATTTTTTCATATAAAACTCGCCTTTCATTTATCACATCAACTCTAGAAACGGTTGAATTTTTTTGGTTGATTTGGGAAATAGTATTTGAATCTTTTTTTTGTCATTTATTATTTCTATTGCATATTATATAACGAAAACGACTTATATTCGACATTATATTTACAGAATATCTATTGACTGAATATCCGTAGAATTTGTAATAATATGGCGTTTATTACAAATGTGTATCAAAACAAGAGAACCCATTACCTCAACGGTAACCCCGGAACTGAATCTCTATCCGAAAAGGGTTTGTATTATTTTTATTATCTTTTTTTGCTGTCATTTACTGTGAAAAAAACAAAATTGTTTTCAAAACAAATGATTTGCAAATCCATCGCGAAATCACAGAAAGTATATATTTTTAAAAGAAATTTATACACAGAATGAAAGAAATCAAGAATAGACAATAAATTACAGAGTTTTTATCATAAATAAGTCATTACAACTGTTGTTAAATTAGGGGTCTTACAGACGTATAAACGGTTTTTGTGATTTTTATTGTAATTAGACATCAGTTATATAAGTGGTTTTAGTGAAGTGTTTGTAACTTATTTATAGATTCTTGAAATCTTCATGTCATGGGTGTTGTCGTAAACTTTATAATTAGTTTTTATATGAGATTTCAGTTCTGTTTTGTAACTACAAGAGAATGGGAAGAATATAATAATTAATTAATTGATGCTTTAGTTAATATCATATAATTTATATTATATACTATTAATACCTTTTATTGTTAAACAGATTATTAGTACTTAAGATTTTGCAACTTTTTGTAATACAATATATTTAGAAATAGAAAGTTTTTTAATTGAATGTAACGATTATTTTATCGCAATCAATGTAAACGAGACTAACGACAGCAGTATTTACTGTGTTATCAATTTTTGTGGCTTAAGTTGTATCACATAAACCTCCACCGCCTGTCAATACCATTCAATTCTGTACTTTTGACCGATACTTACACTACTGTATTGTATGCCTATATTTATAACGTGCTCTCAATCTCAAAAACAATTCATTTCTTTTCTAACGTTTTGATAACGAAGTCGTGTTTCTTATTGTAAACTCGATTTATAAAGAGTTTTCACTTTAATATTTCACTTTAAATCGCAACTGTTTTGATGGCTGTGTTATATTCATCGCATTCATCTCGATATAAACCAGGTTTGAACATCTGCTGGACGTCATCGCAACTGCCAGTGGGTCCGAGCCCTGCTTTAGTTAATATCATATAATTTATATTATATACTATTAATACCTTTTATTGTTAAACAGATTATTAGTACTTAAGATTTTGCAACTTTTTGTAATACAATATATTTAGAAATAGAAAGTTTTTTATTGAATGTAACGATTATTTTATCGCAATCAATGTAAACGAGACTAACGACAGCAGTATTTACTGTGTTATCAATTTTTGTGGCTTAAGTTGTATCACAAAAACCTCCACCGCCTGTCAATACCATTCAATTCTGTACTTTTGACCGATACTTACAGCACTGTATTGTATGCCTATATTTATAACGTGCTCTCAATCTCAAAAACAATTCATTTCATTTCTAACGTTTTGATAACGAAGTCGTGTTTCTTATTGTAAACTCAATTTATAAAGAGTTTGAAACTTTAATATTTCACTTTAAATCGCAACTGTTTTGATGGCTGTGTTATATTCATCGCATTCATCTCGATATAAACCAGGTTTGAACATCTGCTGGACGTCATCGCAACTGCCAGTGGGTCCGAGCCCTTTGGTGCTAACGGGTCCCTCAGGAAGTGGCAAAAGTACACTATTGAAGCGTTTGATGGACGAGTTCCAGGACTGCTTTGGGTTCAGTATTTCTCGTAAGAATTTAACCGCAAATATTATTGAAACACAAAATTGACTCAACTATTGTCTAATGATTCACTTCAGACACCACTCGTAAGCCACGCGCCGGCGAAATGAACGGAAGGGGTATGTATTGATACAGACCATGCCTTTAGACATGTTTTGATATTTACTATTTTGTCGCAGAATATCATTTCATTGCTCACAACGAGTTTGAAACAAGTATTGAAAGACAAGAATTCCTTGAATTCACTCAATTCTCGAATAACTATTACGGAACGAGGTATTGATCATACCATCCAATAGTACCATTAATTCCATCCCAATTACATATGCATAACACAAACCAAATCCATTTATTTGAACGTAAATTGCAGTAAAAAGGCTGTGAAAGACGTTCAGAATTCTGGAAAAATATGTATATTAGACGTCGAGATCGAAGGCGTAAAGAATCTCAAGAAAACAGATCTAAATCCAAGATTTGTGTTCATTAAGCCTCCAAATATGGATGAGTTGGTAAGCGATGCCATCACTTAATTTGCAATCAATTCAATGTTAATAAATACCATTATTTAATGAATAGGAAACCCGTTTGAGAGGTCGCGGCACTGAAAGCGAAGAAGCGATACAAAAGCGTTTAAAGCGAGCCATCGATGAGTTGCAATTCGCCGAAAGTAACGGCGTTTTTGATTTGATGATAATTAACGACTCGATAGACGACGCGTACAATGAGTTGAAGCAATTCATTGTTCAGGTATTTTGATATAAATACACAACACGTGTATTCATTGTGTGTAAGCAATGATTTACAATTGAAATGAATTTTTATTGTCATTCCTATCACAGGATATAAATGCTCTGAAGTTTTCCCGTGGAATGTGAGCATTGGTTCAAAACTCAATTCCAGACAAAAATATAATAAAAAATAACTAATAATACTTTGTTTCAAATAGTATTACTTTTTTGAAAGTTATATTCTTTTATGTATTTCTTTTTTTACAGTATTTTATGTATCAATTATTTGATTAATTTATACAATTTTTCCTATATTTAAGTTTATATATAATTTTCGTGACAAATGCTATCAATAAATAGCAAATTCTTATACTATTTATGATAACATTCATAGCATTAAATCCATTTTTAATAAGAATTTTATTTATTATGACTTACGTAACACTCGTTCAATTGTATCACTTCTATAGATAAACAAATGCATTATTACTTGTAATTTATCAACAAATAGTTTTGTAGTTTTATTTCTTTGATGTCAATCACAAAACAAATTTATTAAAACACATCTCGAATTAAATGTATAAAAAATATTTGTCCAAAAAATAATTTAATAATAAAAAAACAGTATTCAATGTATTGGATGTGCGATTCAAATGATTTTAAGATAGTCTAAGAGTTGTGAAAGATGTGGATTCCCTCCCAGCGATTCCAATTCCAGGCGTGTCTTCGCTCCGATCTCTTCCAACGTTTTCAACGTGTAATCAAAAGATCCGAACGAATCCAACTTCTGGACCGCGTATTTCTTCAGCTCAACGTTTTTCGTTCGCTGGCGTAAGATATCTGCCATTCGTTACAAAAATGTGTGAAAATAAATAAATGTGTGTTTATTTATATTATATAATAGCACCGGTTTTAGTACATTATCATTACAAATAGTGTACAAATACTTTAAAGTATTAGTGTGTCATTGAATTGAGTCAATGAATGACTCAATTGTATGATAAGAAACGGTTGTAACTTATGATTATAATTATGATATAATTGATAATCTGTTGACTTAATGACAATGAAATGGCAAATAAATGTCTTACTCATGATGGTTGAGTCCTTGGGGTGGGTGTGTATCGCGTGAACGATTGGGAACGAAAACTTGCCTTCAGTCAAGTCCTCGCAGTAACTTTTGTTCTCTTCGTACTAACCATTCATTTAATCATTAATTATAACATTAATCACAGGTTTGGATGTAATATATAATTATTTTCAGACCTCAAGTGATTTTAGATTAGCGTAATCGTCTCTGATTTGAAAATATGTGCCCAAAAAGCTAATTACTTGACTGTAGTCCCGCTTATCGGCGCTGAAAAGTTGCATGAGTTTGACTCCCAGTCCGAAAAGTCCACCAGTTTTTCGTCTAATCATATCTAAGTACTGCTCTTCTGTCGGACACGTGAAGGAATCCCTCCAATAGATATCCATTCCTTCGGATACAACACACTTACTAAGCATTCAAATACATATAACATAATCATTGGTCACTTCTTCAGTGGCAAACCTTGTCCTCTGTGGAGCTCTAAGAGCTGTTCCGTAAATATGAGAACGGCGTCCGAAACCAATTCTTTGGGTAACTCTTTAATGGTCTTCTCGAGACTCAAAAAGTAGACATAATTAGCGGAATTAATAGTGGAAGCGATGCCATAGATGTTATGCGCGACTGGTATTCCTCGGCGAAGAATAGAGTTGTCTTCGATGTCATCGATGAGAAGACTCGCGTTGTGTAACATCTCAACGATTTCACTGATTTTCGTCAACTTTTGGTCCGGTATTTGAAACCAATGGTTGAATGCCTTCAATGAATGGTAGGAACGAAGAAGTGAAATGAGTTATTGGGATAGGAATCAAATGATGGCATCAATTGAATGAAGTGAATGCATACGTGAATGAGTTTTGTGCGGATCTGTTTACCACCGCATTGTAGCAAATAGTTGTACGGCTCTAAGAGGAGCTGTCGGTCCGTCAACACATGGCAACCATTGGATCAATTAGTGATCAAATCGATACAATGCATCGGCTTTGCAATGGCTTACCTTTTCCTGCTCTCCGTTATTGGCTGTCATTTTTGTGGACATCTCTTAACAGGTATTCAATTAAATTAAATGAAAGACTTTGTTTTGAAACACATATAATAATAAATATGTTTTTTTATTTGGCAATCAATTTAATGATTAAATTTTAAGAAAACTTTTACACAAATCAACGTTTCTTTAAGATTGAAAATGTTGTGATGTTTTGGTTGACGCCTCCCATCAGATCATTGGATAACAAACACCGCTATTATTAGCAATTCATGACATATACACCACTTGTAACACATCATACCTGTGCGCACAGGTAATGTAACAACATCATTTCAATCATGGTCAACATTACCATCAGGGTATTCATTAATTAACATTACCATCAGGATATTATTACACAAGTTTGTAATACTTGTCACTCAAATTTGGCGCAGTTTTACCAATAAAAGCATAAATTCTTGAAACTTGTAGAGAATATTCTGTTAACTAAATGATAATTAAATTGAAATAAAACAAAATACTAATAATATTGAAATGATTAGACAAATAAGAATGCAATTAATAAGCTATAAATTTATTATAATATCATTTATAACTTAACAAATATCGAAAAAGTGGGTTAAAAATTGCCGATTTTATTGACTAGTGTTGAGTGAGATATTCAATCAATTGATTACAT